TAGACTCCTTACTATACAAATCCTAAAATAGCTTTTATCCTCTTCTTAAAATGAAACCGATAGTCTTATATCTATTATAGAAATTGAAAATCTTCCAACAAAAAAAATTCCAGGATAGCGAATTCACTGGTGAACTCTACCAAACATTTAAGAAATAATACCAATTCTCACAAACAGTTCTAAGAAATAAAAGAGGAAGAAATACTTCCCACCTCACTTTATGAGGCTAGCAATTACCCTGATACCAAAGACATCATAAGAAAAAACAGACAGATATCTCTCTTGTGAAGAGACATAAAAATCCTCAAAAAAATATAAAAGTTAAATTTAGCAACATATATAAAGAATAATACATGGTCAAGTGGGGTTTCTCATGGAAATGCAAAGCTGATCCAATGTTAAAAAAATCTATCGTAACCATATCAACAGAAGAAAAACCATATGATTATCTTAATAGATATATAAAAATAATTTGACAAAATTAAACATCCATTTATAGATAAAACTCTCAGCAAACTAAGAATAGAAGGGGACTTCCTTAACCTTATAGAGGGTGTCTACCAAAAAACCCTACAGCTAGCATCATACTTAATGTGAAAGACTGAATATATTCCTGCTAAGATCTGGAATAAGACAAGGATGTCTGCTTTCAACACTGCTACTCAAAACTATACTTCCTAGCCAGTGTAACAAGACAAGAAAAAAATTGCAAAACACTGATGGAAGCCATTTTTTAAAAAACTAAATGAAGATGGCAATTCCCTGGAAGTCCAATGGTTAGGACTCAGTGCTTTCACTGCTGCGGGCCTGGGTTTGATCCCTGGTTGCGGAACCAAGATCCCACATGCCACTCAGTGTGGCCAGGAAAAAAAAAAAAAACTAAGTGAAGGGTGACTTTCAGATTTACAGCTCTACAGCCTGTCCTCCGTTGCTATAGGAAGGTCCTGCCTTATAATATGGCTCTTCTGTGAAGCCACATCTCCTTTGACACTCAGAAACCTAATCTGGTTCAAAAGAGCTTCTATTGCCAGACCTCAGTTCTCTTCAAAGGCTGCTTATAAACTACTCTCCACTGTCACCAAGGGACACAGTCCTTGCTTCCTAAGATGATGCACTGTGACTCCCCTGGACATTTTTCCCACCTTTTCTCTCTGCTTCCTCAAGAACACTCAAGCACTGTTCAGTCTTGGCCCCGTTTATAGTCTTAGGGTGGAGTCTTCTCCTTGTGGGACTGAATATTTGGAGATTTCTGAGACTGGCCAGCAAACTCATGATTTCCAGGCTAGTTGTGTCTTAGGGGGCCTTTACAGCTAATTTGGAATTTGAGTTTTCCGTATTTCTTAGTTCTGTTGAAAAAGTACTTATGGGTCCCTACCCCCCACCTCTTTATTTCTCCAAAAAGTTTCCAGTAGTGGAAAAATTCAGAACTATGGTGCTACTATGCATCTATTGGTCTCCAAAGATCCCATCTCTCTTTTGAACCCACTCTAATCAAGCTTCCCTCCACCACAGCTCCCCTGAAACTGTTCATGTCAGGGTCACCAATCCACGTCCACGCTGCAAACCCAAAGGCCAATTCTCAGTCCTTTTCTAATCTGTTGGGTCAGCAACATTTGACATAATTGACCGCTACTTCCCCTTGGAAACACTTCCTTTGCTTGGCTTCAGGACACCACGTTCTCCCACTTTTCCCGTCTACCTCACTTGCTGCTACTCCTCAGAATCCTTTGCTGGTTCTTTCCTCCCCAAAAGCTAAATGTGAAGAGTTCTCCAGTGTCCTCTCCCTATACTCATTCCCTGGCTAATCTCATGCAGTCTCACGGCTCTAAACACACATCTATATGTTAAAAACTCTCAAATTAGTATCTACAGTCTGGTCTTTTCCACTGAACTCCCGATTTGTATATCTGACTGTCTCTACCCCCCATTTTCACTTATATGTCTAATAAGGAACTCAAATTAATTTGTGAAAGAACTGATATTCACCCATAAATAGGCTCCTTATAAGGCCTTACCTACCTCAGTAAATGACAATTCTACCCTAAGTTACTTAGTCCAAAAACCCTGAGGTTACACTTGACTCCTTTCTCATACCTCACAACCAACCTGTCAATAAATCCCATCAGTTCTTCCTTCAAAATAAATCCAGATTCTGACCACTTATCATTACCTCAACTGCTCCATCCTGGTCCAAGCCACCATTAGCCATCACCAAGATTAATACTGGAATGCTGAATACAGCCTTCCCTCCATTTCTGGTAATATTTTTGCTCCTCCTCTCCAGCCTCCTAAATGGTCTCCTTCCAGCCTGTACCGCTGTACAGACTATTTTCCACCCAGCAGCCAAAATGACTTATAAAACATATGTCATATCACATCATTCATTTGCTCAATGTCCTCCAATGGCCTTCCAACTCACTCTAAGTCCAAGCAGAGTCCTACAGGGCTAGACTGCTAGGATTTGCATCTCAGCATTACTATGAAGAATCTGTACAACCTCAGGCAGGTGGTTTAATCTTTTTACATCTCAGTTTCCTCATCTATAAAATGTGTCTACCTCCTGAGCATGTAATGAGGATTTACAGACATTAACTCAATACTTAAGAAGTAACACACAGTAGGGTTCGACAAAGGTGAGCTGGCTGTTATTATTTTGTAGCCTAGCTCAACTCGTGAATTCAAGAAAAGTCAAATGCAGAGCATGACTCCCAAGACAATGAAATGTGAACCTGACTTGGTTTTACTTGGTGAAGACTTTTGTTGGAAAAAGGAAAAAAGAAAAAGACCTCTGTCTGTGGTATCAAATGCCCTCCTTATAAATGGGCACAAGTGAGCTCCCAAGGGGCAAGTCTTTGAGAAATTGAAAAAGAAATAAATATACATAGCCTGTCCACAAGAATGTCGTACTTTTCTGGGGTTCTGACTATACTCCCATCTCTATAAAACCCATTCACACTCATTACTTCCCGTTCTTTATATTTTTTTCTCCTCCGTATCTTTGGTTCTTGCTTTGTTTCTCTACCTGAACTTTCCTTTTCAGCCCTACCTGAGATAAAGCCTTCACCAACCCCTCATCTAGAAGTAACTCTTCCTTCTTCTATATTCCACAGCAGTCAGGATCTTTCTTATACTTTATAATTTATAAACTGCCTATTCTGTGGTTAGATAAGATTCTAGTTTTTTCTTTTTCTTAAACTTTGCATTCCCAACAATACCAAGTACTGTAAGTACCATCTGAATGGAATAGGGTTGTATGAAACAATCAGCATCATTCACAAAGACCACAGGCGAGCAGAACTGTCCTTACATTTTAGAAAAGCAGTTTAAGACAGAAGGATATGGACAGGGAAAAAAAGTCTAAGGAATATTCCTTAGGTTATCTGGGAGGAATAGCTATTATATGTGAACATCCCAAAGCAGACATGTCTCCCTGACTTCATGTAATCCTCCCTCTACAAACAAACTAAAAGCTAGGGTTTAATATGATATCACTTACATGTGGAATCTAAAATACGGTACAAATGAGCCTATCTACAAAACAGAAACAGACTCATAGACAGAGAGAAAAATATGGTTTAAAAAACAGTAAGAATGGGAAATCTTAGAAGCAAGGGAAAGCAGGAATGTTCAAGACAGGAAATCAGAGAGAGGCCTGGAAGGAGGGGGTTGCTAGCAGACCCGGGCACCACATGAGACTGGGCTCTAGAGACTGTTAAAAGCCGGCCAGTAACAGGTTCCTTTGGTGTCAGCAGTTCTAAGGATTCCAGAAACTTCAGCAGGGATCGACTGGGCTGAGCAACAGGGCAGGGCTGCAGGAGTATAATCTCCCTTCTGACTATGAGGCCCTCAAAAAGCTGAATAAAGTTTACCTTGATTCAAGCAGGCCTATCTGCCCCCAACCCCATGCGTGAAGGTGCCCCATACAAACACTCTATTCACATCCTCTGCCTTAACTGCCAATGCCTGAAATTCCTTTAAACAAAGAGAGAAAACATTTTCAATCCACATTCAAAGGAAAAATGACAACAATGCAACAGTCTGGCTAAGATAATACTGAGCTTAAATAAGTTTCAGTTAATCACCCTACCAAGGGGGACCCCTTTGGAGGAGGAGGGAGGAACTAATGGTTTACTGAGGCCGACTAAGTGTTGTACTGTCCACAGACAGTACGTGGGTTTAAATCAATGTGTGTAATTTCCAATGTTGTAATCTATATACATTTATTGAATGACTTAAGAAACAAACCTAAGTAGATCATCTATCGGACCTTCCCCTGTGTTCACAGAGGGAGAAGCTAAAAGTAAAAAGAGCATCAGATCACCATCACCCAGGGATAAAAATCATAGAAGAGAGAAAAGGAAAAGAGCTGAGGACACAGTAGCGGAGAAACTATACATTTCCACACTAACTCAAATCATGTTTACTCTCCCATGAAAAAAGAAAAATGAGAAGCAATACAGACCAGTGGTTAAAATTACTGGAGCCAGACTGGGTTTAAATCCTAGCTTTGCCACTTACCAGTTATGTGACACTGGGTAAATGACTTCACTTCTCTGTGCCTCAGTATCTTCATCCCTAAAATGGGTAACTACACCTATTTCATTGGGTTATTGTGAGAATCAAATGAGTTAATATAAGTAAAGTGCTTAGAACAGTACCATAGTACATGCAATTTAAATATTAACTGCAATTTGTAATACTATGAGTATTATTCTTACTATGATCTGAGGTATCTGGCCTGAATCTGTTAACTCAGGAAGTCCTATCATTATACAGAAGTACCCTGTTCTCAGCAGACTCACTAATGGGAGTATTTCTATAAACAAGGGCCATCAGCAGAGAAGAGGTTTGTTAGTACAGAAAACTCCTGATTACCTGGGGAATAATTAAATAGATGTTAGGTACCAGACTCCTCATTCCTCTGCTAGTTTTTTCTGGTTAATAAGTTATTCTTTTTTCATAACGTGAGGGGTGAGAGGAGGTGTCAAAAGTGAGACAAGGTTTCTGATGGTGACGACCTCCTCACGAGAACATGCCTCTCGCAAAGGTTCTCCTTCATCCCTCTCCAGAAGAGGAGAAGAGGAAACACAAGAAGCAGCGCCTGGTGCAGAGCCCCAATTCCTATTTCATGGATGTGAGATGCCCAGGATGCTATAAAACCACCACCGTCTTTAGCCATGCGCAAACAGTGGTTTTGTGTGTTGGCTGCTCTACCGTCCTCTGCCAGCCTACAGGAGGAAAAGCAAGGCTTACAGAAGGGTGCTCCTTCAGATGGAAGCAGCACTAAAAGCCCCGGGAATCAAGATGAATGGGAAAACATCCCAATAAACACATTTGGGATACGTCCAAAAAAAAAAAGAGACAAATGGGATTCCCCTGGTGGCACAGTGGTTAAGAATCCGCCTGCCAATGCAGAGGACATGGGTTCCATCCCTGGTCCGGGAAGATCCCACATGCAGCAGAGCAACTAAGTCCGTGCACCACAACTACTGAGCCTGCACTCTAGAGCCCACGAGCCACAACTACTGAGCCCACGTGCTGCAACTACTGAAGCCCGCGCACCTAGAGTCCATACTCCTCAACAAGAGAAGCCACGGCAATGAGAAGCGCACGCACCACAACGAAGAGTAGCCCCTGCAGGCCACAACTAGAGAAAGCCCATGCACAGCAATGAAGACCCAACACAGCCAAAAATAAAATAAATCAATTTATTTTAAAAAAAAAATGAGGGCTTTCCTGGTGGCGCAGTGGTTGAGAGTCCTCCTGCCGATGCAGGGGACACGGGTTCGTGCCCCGGTCCAGGAAGATCCCACATGCCGCGGAGCGGCTGGGCCCGTGAGCCATGGCCGCTGAGCCTGTGCTCCACAACGGGAGAGGCCACAACAGTGAGAGGCCTGCGTACCGCCAAAAAAAAAAAAAAAAAGAGAGACACAAAGCATAAACTAGTGCATTCTGATCATGCTGCCAGTTCAAATGACTTGGCTGGTGGAGAACATGGCAACACTAGCTTAGATAAAACTTTCAGATACACTCCATGCCTTATACAACAAGGGACTGAGACCAAGAGGAACTTGGAACAAGCATTCACAATAAAATCCTATGATCTCACACCTTAAAACTTAGAGGAGAGTTTGCTACACTGAGGTGTGTATGGTGAACATCAGACAAGCTTCACTTTCCTAAATCAAAGTTTGGGCTTTGGTTTTTAGGAAAAGCTATTTAGAAATAGGACCACAGAGAATATATCTCAGACAACATGAAAACAAGAAAAAGGAAATTTTTCTAATACAGGAAGAAATGGATGAAGAAATAGAAAATTAATTGGCGGCAGGAGAGGCACGCTTTCAATTTTATTTTATAGAGACTATATATATAGTGTGTTTATTCTGATAGGTTGTCTCTCACAGATACTTGCTCTTATTGATTCACAAAGAAAAAAAAAATTGGGGACCTCTGAACGCTTAAGACTGATTTTTGAGAGGTATTCTATTTACCAAGAAGAAAGAAACACAGTAAACACACACTATTTATCAGGCAGAAGCAAGGCATTTTATACCCATTATCTCAGTTCATGCTCATAATAACCCTGTGAATACATACGAGAAAAGCGAAGCAAAGAGAAACAAGTAAATTGCTCCAAAGTAACACTACCTAGAAATGACGGAATAAACTCAGGACTGTTTTGATCCGAAGCTCATGGATGCTCTGTGTACTTCACTTACTGCCTAAGGCATGACAGACAGATCTTTTAATATCCACTTGCCTGAATGTTAATGTCTGCCCACAGAAGTAAGTGGGAGCGCTGGAGTAGAGAACACCGGACGATTCAGCATCATTCCGAAGCGCTATGTTTCTTCGACTGCTCAGACTGTACCCCTCAAAGCCAGCTGTCCACTCTTTTTAAAAAGCAAAGATATTGTAAATTGTTAGAATCTTTTGGGGAATATCTTCAACACAGGCACATTAAATAAAACTTGGAAGTGGAAGACGCTACTTAGGGTTCATGGGCAAGTTCAATGAAAGGAAAAATTCAGTGACAGGGTGTCATGGTCAATCCTACCAATCACAAGAAAGATTTCAGTCTCTTCCTACACATTTTTGGCAAGGAAGATCAAATAAGTGTTATCTCTTACCTAATAAAATCACGTTTGAGCTTATTCCAACCTGATTAAGAAGTAATTAACCGAGTCTAAATCTTTTTTTTTTTTTCTAAATCCTTAAAAAAAGTTATATAGGAGAGGTCAATTTTGGATTGTAAGACTTCTAAGAAAAAGCCTCTATCAAGATATACGTTGAAGGTTTGGGTCGAATGTTGCAGTCTTCTAATGCAATATTTAAACTCTGTGGTTTTAGGGATGCTTATAATCCTGCCTGGCACTATTCGGGGACTCTGAAGATAAGAACGAATGAAAATTTCTCAAAATTCACATGAAGCAATTTGAGCAGGAAGTAAAAGACATATTCCATGTTATTCTCCATCAATTCAGGGTTTATCCTTAGGAAAAAGGGTTGTCAGTGTGCTGCCTTTAGCACAGGATACGTGTACTCATACACAGTTAAGCTTCAGGAGTGAGAAGGCAACAGCATACCATGAGGCACCAGCGTGGAATGACCTATCTGGGGGACACTCCAAGGACTCCACTCCTGTCGGCCATCTCCTCGGGCGCAGACTCTGAACTGATAATCAACATTGGGGTCTATGTGCAATACTATGAATTCAGTTTCAGAGCCTACATACACGTCCTCAAAATGACTGGAAGTACATTTACGGAACTGCAGCCTGTAATCTTGGGCGGTAAAGTCGTCATCCACCTGAGGAGAAAGGCTTTACGTTAGGTAAACGTCAGAGAATAACTTCTCTCAGCATCACTACTTAGGAACTTTGAATGGGAGCATTTGGGGCCAAGCATACAGGTCCACATGCTGAATACAGGTTCTTCTCAGGAAGGTCAGAGGAAACGTGCCATTATTATTTCCCTTGTTTTCCTTATTGAACCATGTGTTTTATAACCCCAGTCTGATATGAAGAAAATGTGCTTCCTCTGAAGCAATGGCATGACTTCTAAACAATTAATGCCAAAGATAAGACATTCAAAATTCAAAGACAAGTATCCCAAAACTACATTATTCATATAACCAAGAGAGAGCTAATATCTGAAATATATAAAGGACTCCTTAAAATTAATAGAAGACAGGGCTTCCCTGGTGGCACAGTGGTTAAGAATCCACATGCCGATGCAGGGGACACGGGTTCGTGCCCCGGTCCGGGAAGATCCCACATGCCGCGGAGCGGCTGGGCCTGTGAGCCGTGGCCGCTGAGCCTGCGCGTCTGGAGCCTGTGCTCCGCAACGGGAGAGGCCACAACAGTGAGAGGCCCACATACTGCAAAAAAACAAAAAACAAAAAAAAAAGAAAATAGTTTCCAGAAGCTGACCACCCACCTCTGAATGATGTTATCTGTCAACAGCCGAGACATCATGACTCATCTGGACATGGTTTTTATCTAAAATATGGTAATTCACACGTATAATATGATTAAATATACAAAATTTTTGGCAATGCTAAGAGTGTGAAAAAACCATACTTTAAAACTTTATTTCAGAGGTATTAGTTCAGTGTTGAACAGAAAAATATCCAACACCCAATATTCACTATCACCTTCTGACTTTTCTAATTCTGAACGATCCTCAAGTCACCAAGCGTTAAGTTTGGGAAATATGTGATGGGAAACATTTCGATACAGAGATTTCATAAAGTACCTTCGAAAGTGTTTTTCCCAACTGGAAGAGCTACCTCAGTTCAGGTTCCCTGTGACCTTAGTTGTAAAGCAAAGGGCACTTTTGTTCATGCAGAGAAGAAGACATTCAAAGGCAACTAATAAAAAAAAATCGTAAAGGCCCCCAACTCTCAAATCCATAATGCTGAAGCCATTTCTACAGTCCTGAATTACGTACCTTACACCATCGTACGATGATGCCTCCGGGTTTCTCTATCAATTCTTCTATCTGTACTGGTGGGCGAGACGCTACCGTTCCATGCTTGAAAATATGGTCTTTCACTATGTTAAGAATTGAGTCATCCAACTGAGCAGATAAGCAAGGCACATCAACCAGTAAAGGCACCTCTGGTAAGCTGAGGAAACAAAGCTCATGTGTTTATAAGGCTTTTAACTGAGTTAAAAATACAAGGGAGTATAGCCTTGAGAAACTGCAAATCACTATGCTGTACACCTGAAACGTATACAACACTGTAAATCAACTATATCTCAATTTTTTAAAAAATAACAAGGAATATTTTATTTACTTATTTTTGGCCGTGCTGCACAGCTTGTGGGATCTTAGTTCTCAGACCAGGGATCAAACCCAGGCCCTCAGCAGTGAAGGCATGGAGTCCTAACCGCTGGACCGCCACGCAATTCCCCAACAAAAAATACTGTAGATCAGTCGTATACTGTAACAGTGCAGAAGCCCCCAGTAAATAATGCTAATGGCAGTGGGGGTTTTGCAAGACATTACATTAAAATTCTCTTCCCAAATAAATAAAAGGAACGAGAGAAAATGGGTAGGATCACAATTGTTAAGTTTATAGCAAAAGATCTGGTTTACTGAGCTATGATGCAGGTTTGTTTGTTTTAATTGAAGTGTAGTTGATTTACACTGTCGTGTTCATTTCTGCTGTACAGCAAAGTGATTCAGTTATACATATATATACATTCTTTTTTATATTCTTTTCCCTTATGGTTTATCACAGGATATTGAATATAGTTCCCTGTGCTATACAGTAGGACTTCGTTGTTTGAGCTATGACTTTGTTCAGATTTTTTTAAATTAACAGTTCTCTTACACATTAGGATTGTAGAAAATCGGCAGTAATTCTATACCAGAGATTACAATCACAACTATTTCATACTAGTAATACTGGTAATGGGCAGTGAAAACTTGAGAAATACATTTTCTATATCCCTGAATCCGAATTTTTAACAGGCGAAAAGAAAAAAAGAAAAGCAGACAGCTTAAGCCCAAGAGACACTAACACTTTTACCTGTCCAACTGGATGTGTGAGGCCTTTTTGGTAAAGCTCCACAGTTTTTCATTCTGTTCTCCTACACCACCCAGAATGGCGATCTCACCTACAATCAGGAATAAGAGAACTAGTACAGGGAAAAATGGTCACGTTATAAACTAATCAACACAACCCGTGTCTAAGTGGGTCTCTGGTTCTCTTGAAAACAATTCTTAAGTGATGTCACAAATTCCCCAAAAGTAAACGTAGAAACTATTTTAGGGACTTACCTGGTGGC